ATATATATATATATATATATATATATATATATATATATATATATATATATATATATATATATATATATATATATATATATATATATATATATATATATATATATATATATATATATATATATATATATATATATATATATATATATATATATATATATATATATATATATATATATATATATATATGAACGAATGTGTGCAATAACAGTATCAGTTAGATATAATTAAATTTACATAAAATGATTGTAATTGATATATCAATGATTATTGATATACAGATATTTGAAGATTTTCTTCAAACAACTATACCAAGTCAAGACGCAATAACTTTTAATGAAAATCCATCAGATGACACATTTATGGATATTAATATAAAGAAAGATCCAGTGCAGGATAAAAAACAACAGTGGTCGTGGTTATTAGTACGTTGCAATAATAAGGATGAGCTCATGCTCTTTGCAACTGGAAAGAATATTAATCGCAACACCATGGATCGTTTGAAGCAGATGTATGAATCTGGTTCGGGAAAGAATTGTAATGTCAAATCCCTTTATTGCAAATCGATAAACAAGTAAGAATCTGATGAAATGAAGAAGCTCAGTTTCTGAAGCAGCAGAAAACTGCATATCTCACTGCATTCGTTTCAGATACGATGATAAAGCTGTTACTACATTCTTAGTGGGAGCAGAGGCTCTAGATGAAATCGTGGGTGATTTAAAACTGCGGCTTACGCCAAAGACGAATTTTTGGTCTAATGCTGCTGGTGCGTGGAATGTAGCTAAAACAGTCGCTGATATGCTTAAACCGACGCCAAGAACAACTGTACTTGAAGTCGGTTGTGGAATTGGTGTGATTGGACTTACAATAGCATCTGTAAGTACACGTGCAACTTGTGACAAGATATGCTTGTAAGCGCGAACGCATTATTAAGCAAATCAAATGACACAGTATGACGTATTATTCTAACGTCAAAGTATCACATATCTATGTAAACGCGCAACATTAAACTAAATTAACAGAACAATTAATGTATTATCATTGCATTATAACAGAAATGTCGAGAAGTGATAGGAATTGATTCACCTTCGGAGATAGAAGAAGCTGAAGTGACTTGCAATCTGAACAAAATATATAATATATCTTTCATAATGGGATCTCCGTTCGAAGTCGTGAATAAGATAAATGCTGCGCGTGACTTACACAATAAAAATCGCGTGACTTACAGCATAATCAACGCAAACACCAATATGGGTAGAGGTATGCAAACCCGATTTGATTTGATTTGATATTTTTTTTTTTTTTTTTTTTTTTTTTTAAATATTTTAATATTATTGGCGATCAATCAATAACGATTAAAATTTAGCGCGCGTTCCGGTTACAACGTATTCTTCAATAAATAAAACTCTAAAGTTATGATATCTTTTAGCCATTGAAGTAATGACAGCTTTACGAAAAATCACGTCTCTACGACGTATCGTAATGGTAACCCCATTGACGAAACAATCGGTCCGAGCAATATTAGAACTTGCACGGCCTATAGAAGGTGATCTTGGTCATCCCTTTATGCCAATTCGTGCATGCGTCGTCGACACATTGCCCAACGGGCCCCATTTCGATGCAGTTATTCTAATGGAACGTAGATACATGCATAGACTCACACAGCCGTGGTTCCTCAAAATGTTGGAGGAGGAAAGTAAATCATTAAATAATACAAAGGAATTGGAGAAAATAATTAATAATGATGGAACTGAAAGTTCTGATGTACAATTAAGGAAGAATCCATTAGCGAAAGCCGAACTTGCGAAAAAATCCAAACTTTCACTCGCAAAAAAGACAACTTTCACGAAAAGCGGTTCAAGTTCACCGGTAAAGGGTAAAATAAAATTGAAACGAGATCATTCGCCCGAGATAATAGAAATATCTAAAAAAGTGTCGAAGAAATTCGAAAAACCTGGATTTAAATCATGGCAACAGGGTAAGTTTGATAATATAAATCTAATTAAACATTATACGAGGTTATTAAATACATCTCTGTAATATATATATATATATTTTTTTTTTTATTAACCAGATGTTACTGCTAAGAAAAAGAATTGGCTCGGTGAAAACTCGGCACTTCGTATTAATCCGTTATTCGAGAAAAAGATCAAAGAGAATAAAGAACAAACTGATTTAAGGAAAAAATTGTCGAGTAATCGTATTGATGCAGACTTAATACAAAAGGTGAATCAGAGTCGAGAAATTCTCGAAGCAGCGAAAGAGAAATTAAGCGGTCCATCTCCTACAGTTGACCCAACGACCGCTAAAGAAATAAAAAATGTCTTGAGTTTGGTTCTCGATCAGACCAATAAGCTTCAGAATCAATTGCCACGTTCAGTGTGGGATCGCATCGCGCCACCTGAAACCGATCAGATTCAGATAAAGAAGGATCTTGATGATGATCCGCTATTGAAAGGTCGATTTGTACAAGAAACTCGTGCTCAGGATATCGTTATCACGGCGGCGAACAAGGAATATTTAGAAACTGAAGATGCTAAACCGAAATTCAAGAAATATCACAATTTGGCACCGCTAGAACCAGATATAGTGATGCCGATGTCGGCAAAATCGTCCGATAATAGAGGTAGGCAACAAAATCAAGATAATTCTTGGAATAGAAACAAAAATTTCGATAAAAATCGCTGGAACGACGCGGGATCTATGAGGAAGCCGGTAGCTTCCCCGATGAAAAGACAGGATTTATCATTTAGACATCGAACATCACCGTCGAATAAATTTTCACCGAAGCGTCCATTATTATCGCCACCGAGACGCCCGTGCTCGCCGCCTAGGAGACATCTTCCTCCGGATAGGCCATACGAAACACGCAATTCTCCTTCGCACCGTGAATACTCTCCTCCGAGACGGCCAGCATCGCCGTTAAGGCACGTGGCATCGTCCGGTGGTAGACTCCAAGTAACGCCACCGAGACGTCCGTTCTCACCGCTTAACCGAGCTATGTCTCCGCCGAGACGGCCAATGTCACCGCCAAGACCGCCAAGATCTATGACTAGCCGACCGATGTCACCCATACGACGTCATATGTCGCCGCCGAGAGTACAGTTGTCTCCACCGAGACGACAAATGTCGCCGATAGGAATATATGATTCATCTGCGAGAGAGATGTCTCCCATGAGGAGACCAATATCCCCCATAAGACGGCCGATATCGCCTATGGACCATCAAATGTCTATAGACAGGAGACCCGTGTCGCCGGTCGGTAGAATGATATCGCCGTCAAGAGACATGATGCTTCCACCAAGGCATCACTCGCCCAGCATGAGACGCTTCTCATCGCATCGAATGCCTGGTGTCGCGTTATCGCCTCCGAGGCGACAGCAGTCCCCGCCGAGGCGCCAGAGCCCGCCACCGAATAGATTCGGGGACGAATGGGATATACCGAGCCGCGGCGCTATCGAACAGAGTAGCACCTGGCAACGATCCATTAATGATAGACCTGAGAACGTTTGGCGTAACGAGAGGCAACCGACAACGAGCGGAAACTGGCAAGCTTTGTCCGACAATGATAGATATCGCAAACTGGCTAACCAAGAGAAGTCTTGGGACGCCAGAGATACCTCGTTTCACGGAAATTCGTGGGGCCCTAAGCAATCGCTCGCGAAACCTGGTATGAAGGAACCATGGCAGACTTCGGACAATAGATGGTCCGGTCCCTCCAGGTCGGGAATTGGCGGCGAAAATTGGAATCGCAAGGAAAGTTTGGGTGGTCGCGGCAAGGAGCCTTGGATGAATACGGACAAGTCGCGATCATCATGGGAACAATCTAACGACTCCTGGAATCAAGGAGACAAAGACGATTGGAATGATTTGCCGGAAGACGCACGAGATCCCTGGGGTGACGAGAGTAATCTCGGGTTGAAGGAAAGATGGATGAATCTCGATAATCAGGGCGTCTCATCGTCCGGTTGGTCGAGAGAGGCCGACAAAGGGGATCCGTGGACAAAGTCTAAAGACAATTGGCAAAACAAATCGCAAGCTTTTCCGGCAAAACAATCATGCCAAAACAGCGGTAATCTGAACATAAACGAATCGCGCTGGTTACCTCTGAACGATGTGACTAAGAAAGTACCATTATCGACCAATTGGCAAGGAGGTAACAATGTTGCAGCATGGCAGCCATCGAGCTATAACTTTCCATCACAATCGCAACGGCCCTTTATGACCAATTCGTTTAAGGATCGGCGTTAAATAAGATATTTTGATGTTACATCGAGTTAATAATGATTTAGATTTCACTTTTAGCTAGCTGGAAAACGTTTCAAATTATGACATCTAGAAACAGAAATTTCTTTTTGGATCTACAGTTTAATTTACAATTTCTTACAGTAACAAATACGTGTTGATGAGTTAAATAGGATTATGTAATTGCAAATTATATGTGTTAGAATAATTGTCTCTGTTTAATTGTGAGTTGCATTGTGGTTTTGTGAAAATGACAACAGTGCTTTTCTGTATTCCACTCTTGCTTTAAGTGATATTCATTATAGTGATACAATTTATTTTTAACAAATTATTTCGTTAAACATTTTTTTTTTTCTATCATATTCTTTTTCTGTGGGTAACAATCGATTGTATTACTTTTAAAGACACAAAATAGGCTGTATGCTTATAAACGTTGTACATACATCATTTTGCATAAACAAAGTTGATATATCTATATGTATGTAATAACAGCCGAATGTATCTCCCACTGAAGTATTTCTGAAAATAAATTGCATTGGAATTTATGTGTCATATATAAAATTCTAAAATATAGGATATAGTATGTGCCTCTATTATATGTATAATCTAAATTACATAAAACAGTTGTAGTAAAATTAAATTTGCTCCTATCAAATATTGTGTATTATAAATTAAGCATACAAAAATATATATAATGCTAATGTTTGTGCATTTCCTATTGTAAATATTTTGAAATTAAAAGAAATGAGAAATTTATGCTCACACACGCAATACACTTATAGTACTTTAGCATAAAATGTGAGTATATAAATGTGTATATTAAATATTTTTCTTTTTACACATAGAATTTCTATTTATAAACAAGTACAGTTTATATATTTATATGCTACTATACAACATCAAATATAATTGTAATCTATAACATCTGGCTCATTCTTATGACATTAATTATAATACTGGAATAAGAATATGCATATGTAAGCTTCATAGTTTTCAATATAGCATCTACTCCTCACCTCTTGTCACGTGACCGATTTTAGTTCGCTCATATCAAAGTCCGAGGACGAGCGGCGCTGAAACTGACCATCTTTCCAAGATGGAGGATGGAGTTTGTGTATCTTGGAGGAACCGGTAACGACGAAAAATGTTCCTAACAAAGGTACTTTGATGAAAACCAATGTGACATTAATTCGAATCGATTGTAGATTAAACATAACCTATATTATTTAATCTTTTTGTTAGATACCGTTTTTGTTCAAGAATACTCTCACTGGTGTCGTTCAATGTGAATCAAAACACGCCAGTATTCTCGTGCATAAATTTATACGAGACACGTCCTTCGTGAAATATTCAACATCAATACAACAGAATGAACAGCAGCAAGATTCGACAAGGGAACAGTCATCCTCACTTTCGGCGAACACGGTAAATTTTGTGAAAAAAATCTTATTTTTGTATCGATTTGTTTGACTGTATTTGTACAAAAGCAGGGTTATTTTTCTTTTAGGGCACACCAGATAAGTTATACAAAAAGATCGAGATTGAAGTCAGAGGAAATGATCCAGCGGTATTAAAGAGCTATGGAGAATTTGCAATGATGGCTGCAAATCATTTAAATATCAATGTATGTAGAAAGTAAGTTCATCGATTATTTGACTTTAGTTAACATTTGGCTAATTACATAGACGATATGTTAAAATATACTTTTGTATAATTATAGCACAGCGCCACGTAAAGCTATCCATGAACGATGGACGGTGCTGAAATCTGCTCACGTTCATAAAAAGCATCGAGTTCAATATGAAATCAGAACATATTATCGCTATTTGGATTTTTTGAAATTAACCGGGTCAACAGCAGATACTTTTATAGAATATCTTCAGAGAAATTTGCCAGAGGGAGTGGCAATGAAAGTGACCAAGGTTAAAATTTTACAATTTAAAAAGATCTAATATTTTTTTTTATGTTCCAATTTTTTCTTATGTTTTATTTTTGCATTTTATTTATTTGAGAATTTCTGTTTACAGATTGAACTACAACAGTTGCCAGAGAGTATAGCCGCAATGTGTAAAGTATAAGTATGAACAATTGTTTATATTATACCACTGTATTGTAGATAATTTCCTGATATAAATTACAAAGAAAATATGCTTTAAATATATATAATACAATGTTTCAGTATTTAGTCGCGACAAAAATAATTTCTCTAAAAATTATTCTTTAAAAATTATCGATAATAATAGCATAAAAAGATGCGGCAATTTTTTGGATAAATGATTGCAACCTAAAGTGCAGCACGGTTTTATTTAAATTATTACAAATAAATGTAACGAGAGTTACGCCAACCTCCATAATAAATTCAAACCTTGCGTAAGTCAAGCGTCATTGGAAGAATGTTAAGTTACAGGTTTTATGACTACTACACGCGGCGACGAGTCGATTTTTCTTGATACATCGTGCGCAAGTTCCGGTAACGGGTTCTTTTTCTTGAAGGCTGATGGTCTGCCTTGGGATGCGTCTATATTGAGGGTTCTGAGGGGTGTATCTTCGAAATGCGTGCCCGTGATTCGACGTGCGTGTCCACTACCGCGCTTCCTCATATGAGTCATACGTCGATAAACACCGCTCGAAGTTTCAGATCGAGAAGCGTCGGTTAGAGCCGTCGCTACGAAAATCTCAGGATCTCTCTGTTGTATTTGTAACCGAGAGGACGAATCATCCTCGGCTTTACGTGAATTAACACCTTCTCCGTTCCTGTGTTTTCTAATTAATTCCGCAGTAGCTGTACATCTGTGTAGTATATATTCGTTGTCTGCAACGAAATCCTCATATAAATTTTTAATTATCTAATTCTTATATAATTATATATATAGAACCGGTTTTATAAATCAATCCAATATGTTCATTTAATCACGTTTTACAATTATTCAACCGCGTGCATTGAGAGATGCAGAAACTGATATGATGTAGGTAACGACAATAAATTATATTTAAACATTCTCAATGACATCTTTGCTGAATATGTATATGATTTTATGGAAACTTGTATTCAATAGAGATAATAAATCGATATTAAATATGTACATACAAGTATTAGCTAAGCAATATCCGGAAGTTGCATAAAAATATTTTAAAACTTTTGATTATTTTCGCTCCTTTTGTGATATTTTTTTGGATAAATCTTTCAGATTTTATTTGGAAAAAATATATAGATTGTTCTGATATATATACATACACCATAATATAAATAAAAAATAAACAAAATATTGATTATTATTAATTTAAAATTCATTTAAAAAATTTAAACAAATTCGGCAATATAATTTTATATCTAATCGAATAGCGAATAATTATAATATTTACTTGCTTTCGAAACTTACTTGAGCGTCTTGAGCGATGATGATAACCCGCCAAAGAATCACGGGCCCAAATGAAGACTATTAAAATAACAGCCACCTTTTTTAGTATCATCATCTATCACGAAATCTTGACAAGTGGATGCAGATTGACCAGTTAAATGTGATGAAAAACTAAGTTAACATTCAGTAAATTTTTACCGGTAGTTAAGCAGTTTGAATTTTATATGCCGATTCTACGAGAGGAAATCGTGGTAGCTACCGCGAGAGCTATCGATCGACTGTTCGCGAAGAAAAAGTCTCGTCGCCGTAGAAGAGGGAACGAAACCGGACAAGATGTCGAAGCCGAAGATGAGATCGTTCGACTTTGATGAGATCTTACGTGCTACGATAGTGTAAAAATACACGTGCGCACTGTAGTAGATGTTAAATTAATTGGCTCTCCGACAGAACATATCAAGCACGACACTGCGAAGCAGACGGAAGAAAGACCGCACGATGCTCCTTTTTTCTTGTTTCCGAGGTAAACCGGTTTGAAAGATGGACCAGGTCGAAAGTCGGCACATTGCGTTTGAATTATTCTTTTTTACTATGTCTGGTTTCCTTAGACGTTGTTTAAAAAAATATTTATGTCAACATCAAAGCACGAGACTTTGCGAACGATCTTAGAATTGATTTTCTTGTATACATTTAAGATGATGTTCGCCGGAAAAGCGAAACTTCCGAATAAAATCAAGCGTAATTTCGCATAAGATGACCTTGATAGCCAGTTGCCACAATATATCAAATCTAGTACGGTATTTTTAGCTCTACAAGATATCTACGTTATTACAATGATGTAATGACGTAAACTTCGAAATATGATATATATGATGAATTATTTTTTTTATTATTTTCTTATATCTATATAAGATTTAAATGAGAAATATAATAGATATATTTATTTATTTTTGTATAAGGATAATATATATAAGGATATATAAAAATTCTATGTTAAGAAGGAGAGAGATGAGATGCTAAAAGAGAACAAAATGCCATGTAGGGGAAGTTATAATCAGCGAATATATCTATGAATAATGATATCGCTTTGGAAAATCTGCTGTGCTAAACGTGGAAAACATGTCCTTCGTAAACATCGTTTAAGAAATTTTTATATTCATGTAGGAATATTATCAGAGGATGATCGTCTGAGCGGTTAATGGAAGAGGCATTAAAGGTAGAACCAGCTCTGGGCGACCCTGAATTTCTTTCCGATTTCGCGGATAATATCGTTCACTCTCTTTTGCAGAGAAACAATGCACTACAATTACAAAATTCTTGAATTGCGTTATACGAGCAAAAAGAATTTTACATCTCGCGGTGAGACTCTCATCTCAAGTATTAGAATATAATATCGCTGGCAACATTGTAATCTTTCGTCATCGTTGAATTAGAAGATAATTGACTTGCCAATTTTTATTGATGCTTAATACAATGATATCGAATGGCTACTTGTACATATGTCATTCGAGAAAGTCTGAGAGATCTATCGCTACAAAAAAAAATACGTATGATAAAAGAAATGATACGAATAATAAGAAATGAGTTACATATGGGCGTAAACCAATAAAAAACAATAATTCAATGAGACCACACTTTCACGTAATCTATAGCAAAAGCAGTCTTTTTGCCGTCGTCTTGTCTCCAGCTTGACAGCCATTCGTTTCGAGAGTTCCAGAAATTCAACAATGCCTATAATTGAATAAAACCAATATATATGTATTCTCCATGTAGCTATTTCAAAAATCGATCATACTCTCTTATTTTAACAAAAGATCTATTTTAAGAACAAAAACTATATGTAACATTGAGAATATATTAAAGGATCCATACCTTAGCGCCTATATTTCTCCATGGTTTTGGCGATCCAGAACTGGTCGTGTTATCCGGAAATACACGCATTCCACCCGCACCAACGCCGAGAGTAATATAGAACTATCATAAGAAAAAAATTATGAACATCTAATTTTTTACGAAACATCTTTACAAATGTTGTGTACATATATATTCAGTATATATTATATTTAAAATTAATTTGTGCCCACAATATAAGATAAAACGAACATGACATAAATATTTTCGTAGGAAGATTACAACATTTGTTTACTACAGAGTCATATCTCAAGAACCGGACTAAAATGATATTCCGATTCGGTCATGGTTAAGGCCATTTATATAATAATAACTGTTTCGGTTTCTTGATCAATGAAAAGAGCCGAAACAAGTTTGAATTACAATTGTTTTAGTTATAGATACGATCTCTTCAAAATTATTTTTTGTTCTTATTTTTTTGTTTCTCTATTAAATTAGATCATTCTTTATTTTTACAATATCTATATATTCTTCATGCATAACTTATAAAATTTGTTAACACTCTATTTCTTTTCTATACATATATTATATACTCATTTTTTTATATACTCCGTTCTTTTCTGTAGAAAAACTTACAAGAAGAATAATTCATTTTCTTTATAAGAAAAAAAAGAAACGATATATATAGAAATATTCTATATATATATTTATATAAATTTATATTTGATTATGTATAAAGAATTTTTTTCCCAGGACCTCACTACATAATAACATCTGTTTTAGAGGAATATTATTTGCGCCTGTGCAGCAAAAATAAAACAAGATACACTGATGTTACCTCTTGATCGAATGGAGCATTTTTCCTGCCTATGTTAGGACCACTCATCCATCCTTCTCCGTCAGGTCTCACTCGACCGATCTCCTCGCCATCGACCAAAAAGGTGAAACCGTCGCTGGTCCAAATGGTCGTGTATACGTGAAAATCCTTCGTCCATCGCGGTCCGAATTCGTGTATCTTTGATACGAGTATTTCCCGAATATTGGGAGACGTGCCTACTCTCACACCAAAATCTAATCTTCGTGCATCGTAAATTTTCGAAACATTTGTGGCATTCACCAGGTTTTCGTTGCCCCGCGATATACCCAAAAGAACACGGCCACTGGCATAATTTGCACCGTACGTAGAATATTTTGGCTCCAGCCACATTTCTGATAAAATTATAACATAAAACGATATAGATTTTTTTTTATTTCTTTTACTTTTATATTTAGCACGATACACATTATAAATTAATGAATACTATTAATATTTATTGTAACAGTTGGATTATGCAATGTTATGATTAGATTCTCTCAAGACTTCCTTGACAGCTTTATATATAGGAAATCTATCTTATAGAAAAGAACTATCTTAAATCGTGTCAAGAACAACAAAAATCGTGTCAAGATTCACAAAATTCCTCCCAGAAAATAAGAATTTCAAATACTATTACTTATATACTACTACTTATAATACTTTCTAAATATTTACAATTAGCTAAAAATATATAAATTAAAAGAAATTGATTGAAGCTTTTTGTAAAAAAATTGACAGATTGACAAAAGTAATGAATAGAAAATTTTCTGACATTCTATACATTTGACAAAACATCGTTTTATTGCATAATATGAACTTTTTTCAATTATATTATACACAAAAAAATCTCAAATTGTTTATAATTACCTGGATATAGCCAGTCGCCCTGAGGAAACCTCGCACGTATTTCGATTTTTCCGTATCGCAAAACGAAACGTTCCTTGGTGGTAAGACGCGCAGATATAATAGGTGGGAGAATGCTATATGATAATGCCTGCCGCAAACATTCGTCAGCGTTCGTGCTGGTACACCTAAAAAAAGAATAAATTATAAATAAAAGAAAGAGAGTGCAGCGAGAGAGAATTTTTATTAAGTAAAGAGAGATCTTATGTCGGTGATGTGTAATATATTTACCTATTGAGTTGTAATTTTCCATATACATTCTCGCCGTACAAATCCTCTAATATAGCCGGCTTTATGAATAATTGACCATTGTCAATTTGCACAAGCTGCTGATAATTCTCATCGTGATATACGCAGAACTCATAGTCCTATTTTCAACAAGGTCTTATCTTTATTTAATGAAAAAAAGAGAATATAACATGCATCAAACGTTGTGCTAATCTTTCATCGTACACTATGAAAGTCTATGGCATCTTTGCTTTATTGTTTTCTCTTAGCGATTCTGAAATAAACCCTGGCTTCAGAATACTCACCGGTTTTAAAGGCATCTTTATTTCGCGTTTCCATAACGACGCATTAAAAGAATTGAAATTATCCTCGAGCAATAACCGACCTGTTGGAGTTTCATTTCTTGATGTAGAGCTCTTCGGAGTTTCATTTCTTGATGTAGAGCTCTTCGGAGTTTCATTTCTTGATGTAGAGCTCTTCGGAGTTTCATTTCTTGATGTAGAGCTCTTCGGAGTTTCATTTCTTGATGTAGAGCTCTTCGGAGTTTCATTTCTTGATGTAGAGCTCTCCGGAGTTTCATTTCTTGATGTAAAGCTCTTCGGAGTTTCATTTCTTGATGTAGAGCTCTTCGGAGTTTCATTTCTTGATGTAGAGCTCTTCGTAGTTTTTTGGCTGCCCATTTTTTTATTTTTCGCTGTTATCAATCCAAATCGTTATCGTAAAAACACCGTTACTTTTATTGACCCGTGAATCATATAAATTGCTGTGTGTTTACGTACAGATAATTATAGGGGGATGTTTCAACGGTTTAACAGTGGTTTTGTAAGTAAGTATCCATGGCAGTTCAAATCCATCACCGGGCTTAAAAATTTTGCTTTTTTTGTTACAGAGAAAATAGAAAAATTTGTGACATCGTGCATCTGTTAATCATATAATGCATTTATAAATATAAAAACAATTTCTCTCTTTTATTGTAATCTTATAAATAACTTATAAATATCTTATAAATAAGACACATTAGATTTCGTGGTTTACAATATAAGTGTGTATTCTTACTAATTTTCATTATTTAATTATTCTTTATTCTTTTATTCTTTATTATATTGCACAATTTTACAAACATATATATACATATACATATGTATACGTATTTTCTTATAAAACATATGTCTCAAAGTTTAAAATATAAAAATTAAATGCAACATTACAATTGAAGGAGTTAATTTTTATGATATAAAACTTTTAGAAATTACATATGTAATCATTAGTTGTTTGATACTACATGTGATAAAAAGCAGCGTTAAAATGAGATATGTCAGCACTCTAAGACTGCATTCCGTTTCATGCATAATGGGCATGATACATTACTTATCCTTGTTTAACATTCGGTGAACAACAAGTATAAGTAATGCATCATGCGCATTATGCATGAAACGGAACGCAGCCTAAGAAAAACCGCTTATCACACGCTTCTTACATTAATAGTCTTGGTTATCCCAGGGAATTCCCAAAGTGGATGATTGAAATGCGGATCCATATACTAATCCACGTTAATAATTAATGATTGATAACATTAATAATAACTTCAATAATTTCAATAAACGTCAATATTGTTTAAAACGCGTAAAAAATCATAGAATGTATATATATTCCCATACAGCACAGAACGTTGTAACAACATTGCAGCAACATTGCAACATTGTAGCAACATTGCGGCAATGTTGCAAATGTTGCTGCAATGTTCTGTGCTGTATGGGTTAATTTATACTTCTCAAGTAAAATACTCATGGAGTTGATACTTTGAGATAAATATTCAACTTGACATGACCCTAGTGATGCTTTATTTGACAATATGCACTGACAATAATTGCGATATATGTGCGCATTCGTATTATATAAATCATCGTAATTGAGTCATGTACGGTATTCTATATAATTCTGTGTATAAAATGCATTTTTTATAAATTCTTAGCAAGTTAAATGAATTACTTAATATTTTTATAGTTTATAGCGATAATCGTAAATAATTTCATCATTATATTCATACACTGTGTGTATTATATAAAATATCAATCTTTCACATGAGATCAGGTTGCAATTTTAAGTGCCGCGCCGATGCTGCATCGGACCTGATTAAATTGCGTTTCCGGCGTCGCACGCCACCGTGAATAACAATGAAACGATGGCATTTGGATAGCACATTTTTTCCCCGCAATTCCGCGAGGCTTCGAGGAATCGCATACCGTCCATTTTCCCGGCGATTTTCGTTTGATTATCCCACGCGCCCCGCGTATGTAGGTTGAAAAAAAAAAAAATAAGTTTTTTCCCCAGAAACGATTTCATATTCTGCACAGCATCATATCGATAAGGAAATATAAATATTGATAACCGCATAACATCTATATAAAATGTAAAATACATTCCGGATTCATTATGTTACATTAAATTAAATTGAGATTGATTTTTGCGAATGGAAAATATTTATACAATTTGCAATAAAATAAATCTTTGTTTATTGTTCTTTTTTTTCGTTTCCGACGGAATTTTTATAATTCTAATAGCATTTTTCAAATATTTTTTGGGACATGTACTGCGCGCGTCCCAGTGGTGTAAGAAGAATTGATGGAAAACATATATGGTCGTAAACAAAACAGTTTTCATAAGCAAAGTAAAACTCATTTTTCACAATTTTGAAAATTTGAACTTTTCGCGGCCGTCAATTTTATCGATTTTGCTTCCAGATGAATTTCCGTGACTCGCCTTAAAGCTACAAAGGATAAATGATATACCTGCCACAATTTTTTACTGGTATAGCTAGCAAAATAAGCCGCATTAACAAGTCGCATTACAAGATCATTATGACAGTGTGACAATAATTGCATATAATAATTATTTTTTTCTCACAATTCAATTAGACGCCTTTAATGACGCAATTTAAAACAATCATCTTTTTACAATGTAATTTTTCAAGCAACAAATTTAAACATGATGTTCTGTAATTTGAACTTAGTAAGAAACTTTTTTCTATTTAATCTCGGAAAGTTTAATGTTTAATATTATTACATTTTTTTTCTTCTCCCGAAAAAGATTTTATAAATCGATTTTAAACTTACCAGGAACTTGAGAGAAATGTTGATTTAATAAGCCAAAGGTCGGATCTGACAGCACGTAAGGAAACATTGGTTTCGCGAATATATATGCTAATGCGAACGTTAGCCAAAGTATCGGGAGATCAGTTATGCGAGAAAACATGTTTATGATTATCGATTCTCTTGAAGCCGCGATATTTATTAAGCGTCAAAGAAGCGCATGAAAATCAGAGAAAGACTGATATCCCCACACAGCACATGTGGATTCTGAGAATGTTCTGAGAATATCATCGAAGTATATTGCGTGTATTCTAGGAACTTTCGAAATACGTACTACGATATACTAAGTATATACTCAGAATGCTACTATGTCCGAGTTTTCTTTTTTTCCAGTACATACTAAGAATATCTTTTAGTATATAATAAGTATATCTATAGAATGTCTTGAATATGTATTAGTATATATATATAATATACTAATGATATACCCAAAACATTCTATAGATATACTTATATTTTAATATTATGTAAGAGAAAGGAGAAGATAAAAACTAAAGATTAAACTTTCTTAACAAATATAAATAATAATATTTTGATTTGACTTACGGGACATGATGATTTTTCGTTATTTCACAGCGACATTTCACAACTGAAGCATTATTTCATTTGTTTCGTGTGTTGTGAATTTTTTTCATACGCTGTACTGTTATTGTTTCATGGCGCTTCTGAGATATCTTTGTTGCCTTTTGCGAGTCAACATATTTTATACGTGTCTTGTAAAATCTTGGTATCCAAGAAGCTGAAGCAGTTGTGATTGTAAGTCCCGATTATTTCAAATTTATATATTTATTTCTATATTTCGATATTATTTCTATTTCTTCTTTTTTATTATTTATCTGTCGTACTTTAGTATGCTAAAGCGATCTAAAGTGTTTTTTCATCCAAATATCTTTTTATTTGAAAATATCACGCAAGCATGTCATTTCTCGCCTCTGACATCACGATTCAACATAGCCGCGGCGAGTATCCAGGAGCCTTAATATCTATTTATTATGATTTTAGTCAATATATTCATTTCTTATTATTCCAATAATGTCGGATTAATTGCGTTTTATTTCTGACAAAATAAGCAGCATATTGTCGTAATTTTCACCGCATCAGAAGATCTCTTTCACTTGCTGATAACACTCATATCTGAGAACGCATCTTTCAATGTTTATGCAAGCATTTTCAATTTTAAACATGATTCCCACAATGCCGAGGCGAGTACCCATCGCAGGAACCTTAAAATAACATTGTATTAAAATAATGTAATAAATGAGTATTACAATAATATATAGATTTTAAAAATATTTAATTATTGTAGAATACGTTAATTATAGTGTATGCTATAATGTACATATTATAACATTTTTCAAAAATTTAATTAATACTTTAATTAGATTTGCAATTGTTATAAAATCGTTAATTAAAATTTTGATAAATGTCAAAGGATACATTATTATATATAACATCGCTCAATGAAGAGTTCGATGTATTTTAGAATAGTAAAATGTTTAAAATATGTTATTTTAATATTCTTTACACATAATACACAGCATTAAAATTCAAACACGTTACTCTTATCATGATTAATTATTTAATTTTACAATAGAATTTATTATAATGTTCTCTTGTATGAAAATGATAATGTTTTAAATATAATTAACAAATATATTGCGTAAATAATGAAAGATTAAAAGGAAACGCTAGGAAAAAAATATTTTAAATGCTATAATTATGTGAATACAATATGTAATTAGCATATTAATTTTGATATATTTTATGTACTAAAGTTATACTGCAATTATACTTAAATTTGAAAAAATAAAATTTTTGACAGCAATGTAAAATTATATACAAACATCTTTTATGTCTATATCGAAATAAATATAATAAGTTGATCAAACAAAGCTTTGAAATAGTAACATTAAAATTTAAACTCTCTTTTCCATACATATATAAATATAAAGTAAAAAAAAAATATAATTTCTTAAGTAGTTTGCAAACAAATACTGAAATTCTGACGGAACTATATAATAGTATTGTTAAAGTATTTGGGCGAAAATTGAATATTACTGATTACTGCTCTTTGACTATATAAGTATGGACTGCCAGTTGCTGTATTCAGGTCGGTTGTCAAAAAAGAGTGACATCAGAAACCAATAACTAAAAATAAGGTACAGTTTGTGCTGCAACCGATTACTCCCGATAGTTTCCGATTGTTTCCGATAAAGAGCAAAGAGTTGCGTATAACATAAAAATTAACTCAAATTACGAATTAAATAATTTCCGAAATAAAAATTTATTGTTTTATAAAAGGCTGCAATAGCACTCGTTATAAAAGTCAAACAACAGAATAAACGAATAAAACGATAATCTTTTTCAGAGGTATGTAATATAAAATTTAATATAAAAAGATACATTACTTTGAAATTTAATGTAGCTTTTACAATTAGTTGTTATAATAGCTGTTGCGATCATATTGCAAAAGCTATTAATATAAACATTAACAAATAATAAGAATAAATAAATAGTTTATATAATTATTATTTACATTCTGTAATATATATATATATCCGAATCAAGTAT